GAATCAGTGGTAACAAAGTGACTGTTGGCCCTCCGGGTGACCCCGAGGGTGAGACTGTGTGTGAGGGAGACACAGGCGGGGGTGGGGGGGAGGGGCTGCACAAGGCATGGGTGGGCTGGCCCTAAAAGCTGCAGCCAGCCGCACAGCGGAACCCCGGGAACTTGTCAGGGTGCAAGTGTCATTGGATAAAGAAAAATGGATGTGGTTTATGTGAGCTCCTCAGCACCCCGGCCCCCGGGGTGGGTGTTGTGTATGTGGGGGTCTTCCTTGACTTGTGCCGTATATGTGTTCCATGGTGTGGGCACTGCTGTTCGGTGTCACGCACGGCATGCATCCAGGCCACACTGGGGCCAGTGCCCGTGACAGGCTCTGGGGTGCGCGGTGCAGGCCAGAGTGTGTCTCCCGGAACGTCCGCTGTTTTTCTCTCTGAGGCCCCGCATCTGCTTTCTCTGTGCCTAAGTTCTGCCCACTAAGGCCCCAGAGAACAATAAGCCCCCCACATGTCCCTGTAGCACACAGAAGGCCCTCTGTGGCAGGCATCAGGAGGCGTCAGGAGGCCTTGGGCAGTCACAGACTCGCCGTGGGTGTGCACCTGACTCGTGCCCGAGCAGGTGCGCGCAGATCCGTCGTGGAGCCTCTGTGTCCCCCACCCCGACGTTGCCAGCAGAGGCCTCACAGCGGAGCTCCACACCTGTCCTTCGTTCTGGCTTCACCTTCGGGGTCCGGACCCCATGGTGAAGGCATGGGTGCCCAAGGTCTTCACGTGGCATCTGTGCTAAGCGCGAGCCAGCGTGGATGACTGGACTGTGGTCGCAGGAGGAGGGAGGCACAGACAGGCGTGACTGCAGGGGATCACGTGGGCTCATGCGAGCGCACGGGCTGCACCCTCAGGTCTGGTCTGCTCTCCTCCCACACCTGGCCCCTAATGGGACGTTCCTGGGACGTAGGACTGGAGCCCGAGGCTGTGTGTTGGGCCCCAGCTCTGGTGTCTCCCTGACCTGGAACCTAAGAGGGGGCGATCAAGGTGCTGCAGTGGCTTGTGCCACGAGGGACGAGGAGTGCCACAGCACCTCGGTGCCCATGTCCACCCAGCAGGGTGGCAGCCATACCCAAGGGCCCTCCGGGGCCTGATCCACACCCCAGCCCAGCTCCAGGACACAGGCTGGAAGGGAGGGAAGGGCGGAACCCGACTCAGGCCCAGTGATGGGACAGGCTCGCTAGCTCCTAGGGCCCCTGTGGACCCCATGCCTTCCTTTTGCTTGTCCCTACCCTGTGAGGGAGTCCCCCAGCTCTTGCACTCAGGGCGTATGGGGAAGCACGCGGGGTGCTGTGTAAGTTAGCACACATGATGCCTGTGCACGTTTCTGGCGAAGATGTCAGCATCTGTGCACGCTTGTCCTGTGCCTGCAGTTCTTGGAGCTGCTGTGCATGCATATGGGATGTCTGGCTGTGAGCGCACGTCAGTCGCTGTCTGTGTGTCCTGAGAACGCATGCATCTGCTGGCTGCAGCGGGTGCTGTTCGGGGACATGTGTGCTTCCTCAGAGCTCAGTGGGACCTGTGTCAGGGCACTCGAGACCAGCTCTCCACCCCTTGGTCTCCCTGGATGAGCACAGGCCAAAGACTCCACACCTGTGATCTGGAGGACACACTGCTTTCCTGCGAAGCGCTCGGGATCTCTCCCCCTAGAGTTACACCACATCTGGTGCTCAATAAATGATTGATGGGCGAAGAAATGAATGAAAAGGGGTACTAAGGGGTGCAGTCCCAGAGGGCTGTAGTCAGGCACTCCCGATGGGAGGGAGGAGCACCAGTTGTGGACAGGGTCAGGCGGCGCCAGAGGGGCCGGTCAAGCCTGGCCGAGCCTGGGTTGGGGGCAGCGGGGTCTGCGGGCCGCCCCCGCGCTCCCCGGGGACGTCTCGGGTCACCGTCTGCACCGCCGGCCGCGCTGCCCCGCGGGTTATTTATGACCCCCTCCCCCTCGCTGGCGGCAGCGGCGGCTCCGGCCTCGGCCCAGCGGCGGAGGGCCCCGGGCGGGGGGACCGCATTTTGAGCCACAATCGCAGACTTCCGAGAAAAGGCGGACTTGCGGCAAATGCACAGCCCTCCCGGGTGTGGTCGCCACCTGCTCTGCCCGCTGATACTGCCGGGCGGAGGGCGATGCTAGCGCCAAAATCCTGTCCTTCTGGCCTCTGGCTCCAGTCTGAGAAGTGCACAGGGACCTGTGGGACCAGGTGCCAGACCAGGCGACAGATGGACAGAGGGAAGTGAGCAGATCCTCGTGGGAGGGCTATAACGTCCAGGAGTGGAATGCCTGGTTCCCTGTGGGAAAGTGGCTGTGACCCGGGAAAGCAGAGGAGTCTCTTTCCCGTGAAGAGGGGGAACCAGGCAGAGGTGAATTGCCTTGATTAGCCAGGGCCCTGGACAGCCCCTGGAAGGGGGTCTCTTAGGAGTGAGGGACTGTCACATTCTTTTCAGGAAGGGTCCTCCAGACAGGGTGGAGTCAGATGGTGGCAGGAGGTCAGGCTGGGTGAGCTAGGTTAGGCCTGCAAGCCAGAGTCTGGGCCCCCTGGCCTTCCTCGACCCTTGCACAAGGCTGGAGTGAGGAGTGGTCCTCAGAGGGGAAAGCCCGCCTCCTGCACAGGCTTGGACTGGAGGCGACCTGGGCCACCGGGTACCTGCCCGGATCTGCATGTGCCTCGCCAGCCTTCCCTCCTCAAAGTGCTGGGAAGCTCAGGGGTTTGGAGGCCGGAAGCTCAGGGGGCAGGTGCCGGCAAACAGGAGAAGGCCTGGGGGGAGGCGACTGTGGCAGCAGGGCAGGGCTGTGGGCAGACGGTGGGCACACGGGCCTCCCACCTGGCCTCTCGCTGACCCCTAACAGCCTCTGCATGAACATGGTGGCTCATCCCTGGGCCCCGGCTCTAAGGCAGGGACAGCCTCCTGCATCCCTTGTACATGGAGGCATCACACTTGAAAGCAAGGCACAGGCCACGAGGGCGGCTGTGGGGAGCTCCCTAACCACCGCTCCTGGGGTCAGGCACATGCAGGGTCAAGATGCAGATGAGGCAGCAAGGAGACAGATGGCAAAGCAAAGAGGGCCCCTCGCATTTACCCCACATTCCCATCTGGCCCCTTAAGCCCCAGCAGACACATGTCCAAGGAGTGGGGAGGCGGACAGGGTGCAGAGGCTGGGGCGCACTGGCTTCCAGACACACCCTAGCCTGAGCCCAGACCTCACTCCCCAGCTGGTCTTGGGGCCGGTTGGTGCCTCAGCTGAGGATGAAGCGGCACTGTGTGTCAGTGAGGGAAAGCAGAATGGTCACCAATGGTCAGCCACGTGACCAGCTGGTGCTGCCTTCTGGTAGGAAGTGGGTGATGGAGGTGTGTCCCCTTGCAGAAGGTGCTCATGCGAGCGCTCTTGTGATCCAGCTCAGCCCGGCAGAGCCTGGTCAGGGAGATGCCCACACAGATATGTCGGGTTGCGTCTCAGAGGGGCAGGGGTTGGGATGTGAGACAACTTACTAGCTTGTCCGGAATGACGCACCAAAGACAAGGCCGTCTCACCAGCTGGTACCAAAGCCACTGGGTTCCTCAGTTTCTCTTTCTAATTCTCCCATTGCAAGGCTGACCTGCTCCTCTAAGGCACTGAAGTGGATACGAATATGGCAGGTCCTGTCCCAGAACTGCTCCTAGCAGGGAACAGAAATGCGCTCCAGGGTACAATCCCACTTTCAGCGGCTCCTCCTCCTCCCCGCAGCCCCTTCCCTGCCCCCCAGACTGGATCCAGCTCTTTCCTGCCCCACACCAAGGCTCAGATACTGTTTGTCCTAGAGTCAGACAACCTGGATTTGAAACATGGGAATGTGGGGTAAATGCGAGGGGCCCTCTTTGCTTTGCTGTGTGACATCAGGAGCATTATCTGACTTCTCTGTGTCTCACCTTCCACATCTATAAAATGGGGATAGTAAAGAAATAATACTGATGATCAAGTGAACTAAGGTGTGATAAAGTGCATAGTCAGGCAGCAATAACCGACAGGATTGTCATCATTATTTACAGAACACAAACCCTCCCCGGCACATTTGCGAAGACCACACACCGCACACCCACCTCCCCATATCTTGTAGGTGCAGAGACCACCCATGCCCTGCGGGACACTGAAGCTCGCCACCCGCCAGCTCTTCGCAAACACGGCTACCCAGTGCTGCAGGCTCACACTCACACCGCTCCAGGTCCTGGACCCGCCCCTGCCCCACGTGGAGTCCCCGACTCCGGCCGCAGGTGCCTAGTGACT